ATTCATTTCCTGAATTGTTTTTCTGGTTTCTTTTAGTTGGTTTTCCACTTTCTCTCTGATCTCATTGGGCTTCCTTACAATTCATATTTGGAATTCTTTATCTGTCATTTCAATTACTTTCATTTTGGTTGGGATCCATTGCTAGAGAACTGCTGCGCTCCTTTGGGTGTGTCCTTTCACTCTGATTTTTCATATTTCCAGAGTTCTTGTGCTGATTCCTTTTCATCTGGAGCAGCTATTTCTTCTTATTTTTGGATTTTTTTTGTGTAGGTGGGGAGGTGGGGATTATCCCACTCCCACTCTTAAGGGTGTGTCTGTAGCATACATTGGGTAAGGACATTTGGCTTGGAGTACTACTTAGCCATAAAAAGGAATGAAATAATGCCATAAGCAGCAATGTGGATGGAACTGGAGACCATTTTCCTAAGTGAAGTATTTCAGGAATGAAAACCAAATACCATACGTCCTCACTAAGAAGTGGAAGCTAATAGATGGGCACACATGGGCACAAAGCAATATAAAGGACATGAAAAACCAAGAAGGGGATAGGGGAGGGGGGTGGGATAAAAACATACCTATTGGGTACAATGAACACTATGCTGGTGATGGACACACCAAAAGCCCTGACTTAAGCATTATACAAGATATCCATATGACAAAAACACTTGTACTCCCTTAATTAATAGTTTGAAATAAAAAATAAAATAAAATAGGAATCAGAGGGAAATATTCACTTAAGGAACTAGAAGAAAAAAAGTTAAAATAAAAAATGCTGCATGTCTTAAATATAATTTAAAATTGGCTTAACTGTGTGGTTTTTAAACTTTGTAAAACACTGAGGAAATGCTGCTTTTTGAGAAATACCTTAGGGCACTAAAAAAAAATCTTCAGCTGAAGCTAATTTGTGCTGCTCAATAAACAAATGTAATAACCTATTAAATAAATTTAAAGCAAATGTTTTTCAGACAACCTGATAAAGATGGTGGTGCAATATAATAGAAAAGAGGACACACTCATGGTCTTTGGAAGTAGCCAGAAATGGATTCAAATTCTAGTTCTGTTCCTTATATTTTCCTGATCCTAAGTTACTTATTCTTTAAAAGTGAAGGAATTCTAACCTAACCCCTAGGTCTGCTGTGAGAATTGAATTAGATCCTTATTTTAAAGGACCCAACAGATGGAAATCATTCAATAAATAGTATACTTTTGTAGCCTACACCACTACCTTACAGGATGAATACAGAGTGAAACCATTCTCCTTAATAATAACAGTAAATTTTAGAGCACTCCTGATACTTCTTTATGTTAATAAATTAACATATAGAATTAAGCAATTCTATATCAAAAGTATTTATATACTTTTTACATTACTTTCCTTAAAATGTAGATTTTCCATTAGCCAGTTTCAAGTACATATATATTTACTCATAATAGTCTACCAGGAAAACCAAAAAGCCTTCTTTAACATATGTTGGCATATTTGATGGACTTAGAAAATAAACTGTTAGTTTAGAAATGAGAGATTGTATAGATTGAACTCCTTCTTGATATGCAAAAGCAGTCCAAAGATCATCATCCTGGAAAAGTATACTGGGAGGAGGCTGTAGGTGAAAGTGAAGGTAATATATCTTGGATTTGGCATAGATATTAAGCAAAGTTTGTGAGCAGAAAAGGAGGGATAAAGGTAAATACAACAAGTGTTAGGACTTAAATCGTAAGGGCTCATTAAACTTTACATCCTTTTTAATGTAATTTTCTGCTTATGGGAGTACACAAACACACCCTGGGTACATAATAAAATAAAAGGTCATAATAGTTAGGGTTCAAAATAATTTTGTACCTAAAACTTAAATGAATTGTCATCCATAGGAATATTAGGATATTCATGTGATAAATTATGATGAAATCATGTAATGAAAAAAAGATGGTGTCTTTTTTCATATATGTTGATTAATATAGTAGTTCAACTTAACAGTTACTTTTACTAAAGTATCCAATATTAGGAGGTAAATTATCTGGCAAAGGGTAGCCTGCTACTACCACTCCATGGGCTTCTGACCAATCTGAACCAAGTCTGGAAAGAAGTAAGCCCAAGGATTAAGCCTGACTGTTGGTCATCTTGAGCCAGACCAGGACACATCAACTAATCCAATCCTCCAGAAAATAGAATTAACTGGAGGTCAGTGGGCATGTGTTGACAGTGGAAGGTTGAAAAAGAGTATAAGCTTTGGATTTAAACAGATCTGAGTTTAAACCCTAGGCTTATGGGATGTAAGCAGTCACTTGCAAGCTTGATAACCCTGAGGAGATGTCTGACCTCTCTGAGTCTCAATTTTTTAATACATAATTTGGTTTTTAATACCCAATTTGGTTATCGTGAGAATTAAGTTAATTAATACTTACAAATATTTTAACACAGTACTTGATACATACATACTGAGCCTTCAATAGATGGCACCTAAAAAAGAGTTCTTTGTTAAGCAATAACTCCTTATGCCCCCTGCAACCATATAATGGGAGCCTGGGCCTCTCCCCACTCTGTGGATGTTCAGGAGGCATAGACCACTCTGCATATGAGGCAGTGCAGTATCACTAGCCACAGACGAACAAACGTGGCTCTAGTTAGCCTTCATAAAAATTGTTTCCGATCCCCTTCTTCCTTTAGGAGTTGCAGGCAGCTCAGATAATTCTACAGTGTGAAAGGAGGTATGACTATCACGGCAAAAAAAAAAAAGCATTATTACGAAAGCTTATTTTTCTGGTTGCATTTCATTTGAGCACATTTAAGACTTGAAAATGTGGACCTAGCCAGAGTCTGACACATCAAAGTTTTCTTTGCCTCCCTGAAAAGTCCTATGGACCTTCTTATCACTCAACAGCTGTCAATTCTCTTCTTGGTCCAGGCTTAAATTGGATTTACAAGAATTGTGGTCATAAAAGGAAAATAAGGGAATTATCCATCTCATAGCTTACCCAGTGCAGCATTTGGCAGAGGTATAGTGAAGAAAGCAACTAGATTTGAAGGCTGATGTCTTGGCTTCTTGCTAGTTGTGGCAAAATCCTTCAACATCGCTCAACTACAAAATACTAATTCTTACTTTATAGAATTTGTGTGTGTGTATGTGTGAT